AAATGAAGTCAAAACTAACTGCTAAATAATTGTTATAACTAATGACAGCGATTACTGATAAAAAACTTATTAATATTGGTCCAATTTTGTCAAGCTGATAGCTGAATCAGACAGCATAGGAATTGTATCAGTTACTAACAAATATAAAACTTGATAGAATTGGACAAATATTGATGAGTTTTTTTATTAGTAACTAGTAAACTTGTTTCAATATTCTGATAAAACTATCATTGGTTACAATGAACGATTATCCATTAGTTGCTTTTTTTTAGTGATCAGTTTCGACTACATTTTTTTTAAGGGTATAAAATCATTATCTTCTACCATTAATATGCGTATTTCCGTTAAATTTCGATGTCAAATCACGATCGTTTTACAACACTAGTGCACTGCATATGTGTATACTTGTTCTGTCAGACAATTTATCGGCGAGTAGAATTGTCGAGAATAAGAGCGAGTGAAACTTTTGTCGCGGGTGTAAAAGCGATAGTCGACATCACGCGAGGCGCAATAAAGTGCGACACATAAAGGGAATTCTCGTAGGTATTCAAGTTACTTGCCCGAGGAGGAACATTCCAATGCGTGCAATACTAAATGATTGCGAAACGTCTGCAAATGCGCAAACCGGAGAGATTGCGGTTTCGTCGATCGGATATGGCAACATGCAAATAGAAACGTTGCAACAGGTGTAATTGACAGAGCGACTTGAAATTGAGGAGAGAGAACATGCGCGATCTCATCGCCTATATGTAAGTTACATAATGTCGATTCTATGCTATAAGTTAAACAATATTCGTTGACACATGATTTTGCGTGAGAATTGCTTTACACCAGGATGGTGGCATTCATGACCAAGCACTGATTGATGGTACATTCATGATTTCACGGATTCGCTCGACATTACGCACGTACGTGTACCTCCCGTGATTGTTTCCGACATGTACATCCTGTGATTGTTACAGTCGCTGCTATGGATCAAGCGGTTTCCAAAAACTCTGCAATAGCAATTCTAGATATATACATATTTACTTCTTATTGAAGCTCGCACTCTTTGATGGATACGATATTAATATTATATCAGCAGAATTGAAGTTTAATTTTCGACGCGAATAAATATATATATATATATATATTATTGCCGTAAATAAATGTAAAAATATGTGAAATAAAATCGTGTGCAGAAAAGATAATAAATAAATATTATAATTACATTTTAAATTAATTTGTATTAAATACTTTATTTAATTTTTAAGTATGTATAAAATTATACATTTAATTTATATTATTTATAGCCTAGTGAGAGAGAGAGAGGGGGGGAGGGCATAAAAATAATGAACTTTAAAATTTCTGAGCAATACGTTTACATTCTTTTTCCAAAATAGGTTTTAAGATAACCAGCTACCTAATTTAAAGGTTGATATCTTTAGAAAGTTTTGTAAAGTCGTGTATAAAAAAAAAGATAAAGACTATTATTTAGCCAGATATTTTTAGAGTATTTCAAAGAAAAGAACTTCGCAGAACACGAATGACTCATCGGTGTATATTATAAAGATTAACGCTTTATAATGAGGTGTTTAGAACATTTTCGCTTTATACATTTGTTAAAATGTATAAAAGCTATTTATTCACGTTTATTCACATTTATTATATTTAAATTGTCTCAGAATTGAAAGTTTTTGCATTTATTTTTATCTAAAGAATTTTTAAATATTATTTTAATTTTATTATAAATTGTCAAAGAGAACAATGAAAATGAGATAATGTTGGGATGTCAAAAACATCTCACGCGAATTTCGTTTAAAAATTAAATAATATAGATTAAAAATAATTTTTCGATATCTTTCTTCGTACAATTAACTTCATGTTCATTTTGCGCGATGATGTCTGAATGCGAATTCCAAACGAAATTGGACAAGTTTCCTTCTGTATCTAACCATGGCTATTAATTTATACATTTAGAGATATGCGTATACACGTCTAATATATGCGGATGTAATAGGCGCTTGCAAATGCTTGGTGCATCAAGAGCAATCTCTCTGGAGTGAAGCGGCGCCGATAGGCGAGCTTGCACGGTCGATTGCGGAAATGTATATACGGACGTTATGTACGTCAAGCATATGTATATAGTTTAATATATGATATATCTATCGGGGGGTCAGGACGCGTGTGTTCGTTTGCGAAGACGACGTCGTTGTTAACAAGCGAGACAAACGATTGACCCGCGCGAGACGATACATACGACGCTGCAGGTGCAACCGAATCTGACATTGCAGCTGCGAGCGTCGGGACGCTCTCAAAGGGGACAATGAGGTTGCGCTAAACGGTGTACATCGATCCGCACTGACATTCTGGGTACCCACAGAATTTCAGTCTTGATCGGTGAAAGAAATATGTAGCTCATCTCCTGTCTCTTCCACTCCTGTCTTAAACCATAAAAAAATTAGACTTCCGATACGTGCCTTATACTATTACAACTTTGACTCCCTTGCGTGGGCGTCTTTTTACGTTCTTTGTTTTTAATTAAGGAAATGTGACACCTTAAAGAAAGAAAAAAATAATACATACTCAAATATAGATGTTTGATAGTAATATTTATAATTATACAAGGTATTTGAAATAAAAAGAAAGCTGCTGTACATGAATTTTTATGAAAAGTTAATATTTGAACAATATTTTAAAAAAAGATTATATTGACATTACGAATAAAAAGAGAGTCTACAGTACGGTATTCTTCATTGATAACGTCAATATGATCGTCTTACTCAAAATAAATATTGTTCAAATTTGACAATTTGTTTTAATATAAGCATAAGATTTTAAGTTATAAGAGTTCAAAATATGATAATATTCAGTATGACTTTATAAACATACAAATAGTTAATGTACTTATTGAATTACATAAAATAAAGCAGAATATTTTATTACATATAAATATTGGGAAGAGATTTTCAATTGATATATTGCCACAAAAAAATTTTCAATATTCATTTTAAAGAGTTACACTTAAGAGTTATATATGTATATTTAATATTTGGTATAAATAATATATGATTTCTTAAGTGTATATATGTATGTTTGTATATATTAGGTGTTGGAATTAATTCGTAGCGTTTTTAATGAAAGAATGTTATTTATTTCACATGAGCATTAAAAAATACATTTATGAAAGTACTTCCCATCACTTGTAAAACGCTACGAATTAATTCCAACACCTAATATATATATATATATATGTATTAAGTTTATATATATGCTAGAAGTAATTGGAAGGATTTGAATTTTTTTCTCATCTTTACTACAAATTTTTAAAAGGCTACAATTGGCTTAATCAAATACATCAAATACTGTGCAAAAATTGTAGGTATTCTCTGCTTTTGAGAGCTTTTGTCGTGAATAAATCTTCTTAACGGAATACATATACAGTATTCTAAGTTCGATTAGCATATGATCAATACGTATATTTATATGTATCGCCTTTACGTTTTTGTAAATTTGTCGTTTTGTAAATTTGAGATATTTTGGATAACTGGGACATAGAGAGTAGAGAGATATGTATCTCCCAGTGGTCGAGGCTGCGAATGCCATATATTCGTATATATGTGATACAAAGATCGACTTCACGCTGTCATGTGTAGTCAGTTATCTCATGAAATACTACTGCAATATGTATCAAACATTGTTATTTGATATTACTGTATTATGGTAAAATATTTAATGCGTATTTCATTGATAACATTCTTATGACAGTGTTTAATTTCGTTAAAATTACAGTTAACGGCGTTCGTTGCGTTTTTTATAATTATAATAACGGAGCAAAAAATGAAAATTTTACATCGATGAAATATTCATTCAAACACTTAATAATAAAACATAAAAAAGAGAATCGAATCCCAGAGATTGTTTTCCTAAATTCAGACAATTTTGTTGACGCACAGTGTTATGTACATTTGAAAGTATTATGAGAGACTTATTATTTCAAAAGCTGGTCTTATACGAAAAGAAAGATTTTTATTGAAATATCTAAAAATTTAGATATAAATTTGAAAATAATTTTTTCGTTAAAATAATTATGTACGCGGAAAAAAAATTGCATAGTAAAGCAAATCTATAAAAATCTTTCAAATTTTAATTTACTGCGCGAATTCAACATCTGTAACTAAGAAGATTTGATGGTTTAACAAATCGCTAATGTTATTCAGCTGTCAACTTTGCTATTTTAACAGAAAATTGATTACTGTAAATTTTTGCTGAATTAATGAAGTTTTCAACTTTTTGTATAAAAAACTCAAGCATGATGAATAATGCAAAAAAATTTTTGCTAATCGAACGATTAGTTTGAGCGTTTCATATAATTATTTTGGCAGTTCAAAAAATTTATTTTTAGATTTGTATTTAGTTAAATACAAATTAAATACAGTTTAATTAAATACACAAAATTTTTAGATATTTCAGTGAAACTATTTTCTTTGTGAACACAAAAATGGTTTTACAAAATTTAAAGCTATAGAATATAATTATTTGTGTAATGCTTTAAAAAAAATATATCTATTTGTATAATTCTTATACAATATTACAAAGGTATAATAATACAAGGATAATAATACAAAGGTACAACACGAAATACAAACAGCAGCGCGTACAATTTTTAGATTACGTAAAATATATCACATCTAATCTCTCGTCAATTAAATAATTAAAAACGCATACGGTATACTTACATCTTAAAACATAAATTTTATATTTTTTGACAATGGCATTTCTAATTCTGTCCTCTTTCTATTGGAAAAGATAAGTTTAACTGGAATGTAAGTATTATCAAAGGCTAAAAAATGTACATATGAATCATAAATATAAATAATTCAATAAAAATATTCATACATCCACATCAGTACTGTGAATTTTCAGGATAATATATTGCGAAAATACTTTTTAAACAAAAAATGTTATTTTTAATTAAAAAATATATATCGATGAATTTACGAGCAACAGCAGCTGTCGCGATGTTAAGAAAAATCTTCACTTGATTTAGTTGATTTATTTAAAAGAACTTCCAGAGGAGTGAATACATCGTGATGAGGTAAAAAGTTTTTTTTTTCGTCGAACATTTACTACAAAGAGAAAGAAAACAGAATTCCGAAAATCTGTCGTTTCGTCTATCAGAAGAAACAAGAGCATGCGAGGGATTGTGTTTTCAAAGTTACATATAATATTAGCTTGCAAAACAGCTAATGTTGTGATTATAATAGATAACTTCTTATTCATAAGATTATAGTAGATTTAGCAGATAATTGCTTAACGTCTTTCTTGTCTTTTTTTATATATACAATCTAAATATCTTACATCTTACATACGAATTCAATCTTCTGCTTTTTTCAGACAGAGGAGATATTTTTCGATTTACTTTTTTGAATTGAAATATTTCTTAAATGACTACTGAGCTCTGTATATTGGCCCCGCATAGTATAAATTTGCCTTTGAATTTTATGGACAGTATCAAAATTTGATTTCATTAGATCCTCCAGATTTTTCAAATGTTGCTTTTTTTCTCTTTCAAGCGAGTATATCATTCTTTGATACAATATATTTTCCTGCAGTAACGTCTTACAGTCTTTAAGATTTACCAACATCTCTTGGAAAATGTTTTGAGTAGAAAATTCTTTTATAGTATGTTCTGAGAAGTCTTGAGTCTTTTTATGAGATTTTTTTATTTTAGTTGGAGAGAAGGTAAAGATGAAGGGAGAACTCGCACGAGGACCTGGAGAAAGGGGTGAACAACTGTTTCGAGTCTTTGGAGTAATAGGAGTATCTGTTTCGAATTTATTTATAATTTGAGATTGCTCGAAGGTAGGAGTCTTAGGCGTTACATTCAAGGATCTTTTTTTAGGACTGGTAAATAAATTTTTGAAGAATCCTAAACTAGAATTTCCACTTGATTCGAGTTGATCCACTTGATCAAGAGTTTCAGGCGTCATATTCAACGATGTTCCTGGAGTGACGATACTCTTATTGGAATTTTCAGGTACAGCAGTATTATTTTTATTCAAAATATCACTTTCGTACGAAGCTGATTCGCAGTAGATACCCTCACTTGGAAGAGGATAAGAAACGGATGTTGAAACAATGCATTGGGTTTTTATAGTACTTTTAGCAATGTCGGTTTTGAGGGATTTTTTATTAGAATTTTCAGATGATTCGATGGGTGAAGGTGAGATTATTTTGGAGGAAAACGGTGGTATTGTCGATTGTTTTGAAGTGACGACACTCTTAGAGGAATTAAGTAAATCATCATCACTTTTATCTGAATTATCAGTTTCGATAAGCATTTCGAACTGCCGGCAAGTATCCTCCTCAAGTTTATAAACACTACACCAAAGGCAAAGAAAATGATCACGGTGATTTTTTATGTGTATACTTTTGTGAGCACGTATTGTGCAAATGAAATGTGCGACAGTGTTGCAGTTACCATTGCAGCGAAGATCGTCGGAGGTTACCGGTTTTAAGCAGTATTTACAATGTTTATTTATGGTAATCAGAGGTAGTTTAATATTGACTTTTTGCATTGTGGAGACAAAGAAAGTGTTAACGAGTCACTTGAGTCGACGATCACTAAAGTTTATCGTGGAGACTGTAATAACCTGTCGATACAGACATGATTGTGTTAGAAAGATGATGATAAACACATTCGAAATACGAACGTTATAAAAAAACAATAACATGTGCATCGGTAATTCATGTAGAATTGCAAGTTCGTTACCTGTGAGACCACGTCCAATTTACAGAAAATCCTGTTTAATTTTGCGAGAGCTGCTTAGTGGCTGGGATTTATAAACTGTTAAGAGCGATTTCACTGGCGTTTTTGGTTAATAAGACAGTTATCGGAGATAAGAGAATCGATCGATATGCTACAAACGGAACGGCTAACTGCTCTAATTTAATTGCGGTATATATTCACTTAAAAATCTTAATGGTGCGTCCAAATCGTCAAATTCAATCGGTACAAATAGTTTACATGCACTTGAAAGAGCCACAATAAAGTTAAACTGAATGCTTTAAAAGACGTTAAGACAATAGAGAAACTTGAGAGACACGGTTGCGCGCTCGCGCGGTCTCGTCAGGAAACATGTCAATATTTCGGGACGTGTACAGGAATTTGCAAAAACTCATTGTCTTCTGTTTATCAAACTCTGTTTACGTCGTTAAGAGGTTTATTGTTTCCTTTTAAAATTTCTTACAGTAGGAAATT